TATCTGACAAGAACCTAATAACCAAAATATATATAGAATTTCAACAACTTAACAACAAAAAGACAAATAATCCAGTCATAAAATGAGCTAAGGACTTGAATAGACATTTCACCAAAGACATTCAAGTGGCCACTAAACACATGAAGAGATGCCTAGTGGCATTAGCCATCAGACAGATGCAAAACAAAACCACAATGAGATTCTATTTCAATCCCATTAAGATGGCTAAGATTTAAAAATAATAATAATCATAGAAGAAAATAAAAAATGTTGGCAAAGTTGTGAAGAATTTGGAGCCCTATCCATAGCTGGTAGGAATGTAAAATGGAACAACCTTACGGACACAATGTGGTGGTTCCTCGAAAAATGGAAAATAGAACTACCATGTGACCAAGCAGTTCCAGTCCTAGGTCCATACCCTAAAGACTTGAAAGCAGAGACTCAAAAAGAGACTTGTATACCAATGTTCATTGCAGCACTATTCACAATAGCCAAAAGGTGGAAACAACCTAAATGTCCATCCATAGATGAATGGATAAACAAAATGTGGTCCATACATGCAAAGAAATACTTCTCAGCCAGTAGGAGAAATGAAATCTTGATACATGTTACAGTATGGATGGAGCTAGAAGACATTATGCAGAGTGAAATAAACTAATCACAAAAGGACAAATATTGTATAATCTCACTTATATAAAAAACAACAAAAGGCAAATGTATAGAGACCAAAGTGTATTTGTGTTTACCCGGTGTGGGAGGGATGGTGAAAGAGAAGGTTAACGGTAATGGAAAAATTGCATTTGATTAAGGGTGGGGTTGCACACAGCTAATTATTGTAATTGCTGCCAACAAGTTATATACCTATAAGAAGTTGAATTGCCAAAATTTATGCGATATATTTACAACAATGACAAAAAAAGAAAGTAGCTGCTGAATCTACTTATGTACAAGGAAAATCCTCCTGAGATTTAGTTGCTTGGTTTGGAGGTTTAAAGTCATGACTTCATGTGATATCCCAGTTAATTGGCCTAATAACATATTTAGTGCTTCTGTTCTACCTCCTAAGGAGCTCTGGTGGCATAGTGCCTAAGGCATGTGACTACTAACCAGAAGGTTGGTGGTTCAAACCCACTAGCCACTCTGCAGAAAGAATGACTAAGCAATCCACTTTCATAAAGATTTACCAGCTTGGAAACCCAAAGGGGTCTCTGTGAGTTGGAATCGACTCGATGTTGTTTATTTTTTGGTTTATTCTACCTTCTTGTTTGTTATGTAATGCCTGGGGTCTTAAAAGCTTGCAAGCAGTCATTCAAGGCATGATAATTGGTTTTTCTTCATTTGAAGCAACAGAGGAAGATGGACAGTCGGGAATCAGAGGAAGATAGGGAATATGAGGTTAATTACCTCCATGAACAATTGCTTCCTTTGCTGTGAGACCAGAACTAGAGAGTGACTAGCTACATTATTAAACATTTTGATCAAAGATTTTATAGAAAAATCCTGATCAAAAAGGGAAAAGTGTAGAACAGAATTAAAAATTCTCATGGACTCTAGACTTTCTGGAACCATGGAGGATGGATGAACCCCTGAAACTATTGCCCTGAAATAATCTTTAATCCTTAAACCAAAAATATCCCCTGGAATCATCTTAAAACCAAACAATAGTTTAGCTTAACTAGTAAAAAAGATCTGCTTTGAGCATTATGTTCTTTCAAGAACTATTCATATAGGATCGAAGTGACAACAGCAACTCTAAAGATTAAGTAGGAACCTTACATTAATGAGGGAGGAACAGCTCAGAAAAGGAGGGTGAGAATGGTTGCACAGCTCAAAGAATGTAATCAATGTCACTAAATAATACTACATATAAAAACTGTTGGAATTGGTGTATGCTTTGCTGTGTATATTCTCAACAACAGTAAGAAAATAAATATAATTTAGAAGAAAAAAAATTAAAAACAAGGGAATCAGAATGTATCCTACCAAACATTTCTTCCTTTGCATATTTTTTTTGTACACTTCTCACTAAATCCTATTATTTTTGTCTGGGTAAGAAGAGATTAACACTCTTCTCTTTATTTTACATTTCTAGTTATTATTCCTTTTTTAGATTTTTCCTTAATTACAAACAAAAGCTGGTATTTTCCCAACATATGATTTCAGAATGCTTTCAGTTAATCTTGATATATCACTGTGGAGGCGTCATGCCCATTTAACAGCTGAGGAAACGGATCATTGAAGTGATCACAGTAATCCTAATTTTAGTGTATTTATCACCACTGTATAATTTATTTTTGCTATGTCAGACAATGTTTGCCAATAGCAAATATGGACATTTATGGATATTTATTTTAAACATACCAAATATAATATTATTCAATATAGATTGTCAAATATCTATTTTTAATAAAATGCTTTGAAAGATTATAAAGATTGAATAATTGAGCATCCAGAAAGACTGCTATTAGCTGAAATAGTGATGATAAGAAAAGGATACATATTGCTGAGTTTAATCAATTTAGACTTGTTGGCAAAAAGTTTCAAAAGGGTTTTAGCACTTCTTAAATTCTATTTTTATTCCAACATTTCTTCCTTTCTTCTGTATTAGAGTTTAAATTCTAAAGCGCTTGGCATTGTGGAAGGCTGTGGTCCACAGTGGGAGTCCTAATTCCATTTTGAGACTTAACATAAATTTCAGATGCCATTTGATTTCTTTCTGACAATTAAACCAGCATTATGGCCATGTAGGGAGGTCTGGTGGCTAGTGCTTAAAGCATTTGACTGGCATTTGACTGCTGACTACAAGGCTGGCAGTTCAAACCCACCAGCAACTCCTTGGAAGGAAGATTGGGCAATCTACTTCCACAGAGATACCGCATAGTGGCTAAGACACTTGCCTGCTAACCAGACGGCTGGCGGTTCAAACCCACCAGCCACTCCTCGGAAGGAAGGTTGGGCAATCTACTTCCACAGAGATACCGCATAGTGGCTAAGACACTTGCCTGCTAACCAGACGGCTGGCGGTTCAAACCCACCAGCCACTCCTCGGAAGGAAGGTTGGGCAATCCTACTTCCGTAGTGATACTGCCTCGGAAACCCAAGGAGGGGTCGCTATGAGTCGGGTTTGACTCGACGGCAAACAACAACAACAACAGCCGCGGAAACCCAAGGAGGGGGCGCAATCAACTCAAAGGCAAAGTAGATTATACTTTCACAAAGAACTGGCAAACTTGCCTGAGAGTGTCATTTTCTAATGTAAATTAAGGTTGGGGTCTTGGTGGTGCAGTGCCTAAGGCATTTGACTGCTAACCAGAAGGCTGGCAGTTCAAACCCACCAGCCACTCCTCGGAAGGAAGACTGGGCAATCTACTTCTGTAGTGAAACCACCTTGGAAACCCAAGCAGGGGTCGCTATGAGTTGAATCGACTCAAGGGCAGTGAGTTTGGGTGTTTTTTGTTTTTGTTTTCTTTTTAACCTTGTGGCTAAGACTCAGGCTGCATAATCATGAGTCACAGCCTATCCTGACTATAGTCAAGTAGTCAAGACCCAAAACCAACCCTCTAACCCTTTCCTGTCTTGTAATCCCAACCATGGTCTTTTTCTTGCTTCTATAGTTCCACCTGCAACACTGATGAGTCTGTCTACCACCAGTCATGATTTTCTGATGATTGCCCCTTTTTTAAAAATCATGTTGGGCAATCCTACTTCCGTAGTGATACTGCCTTGGAAACCCAAGGAGGGGTCGCTATGAGTCGGGGCCGACTCGGCACATAACAACAACAACAACATAGTTAGTCACATGGCCATTACTCAGCAGACTCCATTCACCTTTCTCGTGCTGATGGTGTCCCTCATCCAGGATGATTGTCTTTGTTTTGCCCAAGGCTTAATCAAAATGTGTCTGTTGAACCTGTTTGAATTTGGGGTCTCTTTTTCCCCTAATACACTTCCCATTTCAGAAAACGATATGGGCTTCATGAAACCAGGTTTTAAAAGTGGAAAGATTTACCAAAACCAGGCTGCCTAGGTAGATCTGAGATTTAAATCTTAACCACGGAGTCTTCAAGAATGCATTCATTAAAGTAAGATTCTTGAGAAAAATGCCTTTGCCTACTCCGACCCCTTCCTTAGTCCCACAGGTTTCCTTAACTTTGTTCTCTTGAGGGAAGGAAAAAAAAAAAAAAAGCCACTGTAGCTGAAGCTTTTTCCCTCAGCTGGCTGCTAGCCATTGATCCTTTGTTTTTTCCAGCTCAATAGCATATACTGGTAGTTCTGGTTTCACCCTTTCCTTGGTTCTTGCTTCTAGTAAGAACCTAGTACCTTTTCTTTAATTCAGTCTAAGCTTCTGTCTTTAGTCATAGCTCAGAATATCACTACTTGGTGGAGACTTTGGGTCACAGAAAGGTGAAGTTTTCTAGTGCGTACTTTCCTTCCATTTAAAAAACAAAAGCATTTCCTATGTCTTCAGAATTTATGCTATTTAAATTGAAAAGTATCAGAATTATATCTTAATAAAGCTGTGATTTAAAAAAAAAAAAACTTAAAAGTGTAATTTTGGTGAACAAAGCCATAAAAAATGTATTAACATTTCTCTACCTCCCCTCTCTTGGCCCCCATATCCTTCAGTGTCCTAAGTCTCTCCCTCTTCTCCCCCCTCCAATTTACACTTTCTCATATTACCTTCTCAGGAGATATATCTATTTGTTAATTGGTTCATTTTTTAATATATGCTCATTTTAATGGCTTTGTATCAGCCTCCATGTGTTTAAGATTTTAGATTGTTGTTAGTATTTCTTGTTTAGATTATATAGTTGTGCTATACTAAATTTAAGCACTGAATATAAATACCAAGTTAATCAACTCTCTTAATTTTTCAAAACAAACAACACAGCTTACCTTTTAAGCATTCAGAATTTTTCTTTTAATTAATGCATTTATGTTGCTTCTCTTTTAAACTAATTTAAACTTCAAACATTTTTTTCTTGTTTTCTCATGAACAGGTGCTGCTTTCATGTTCCCATGTATTTCACAGAGTAAGTAAATCCTGTTTTAACTCCTATAATAAAGTATGCAATACATCACTCTTGTAACCTAAAGAAATCTAGCCTAGTCTTACTCATTTTAAAGTCTCCCCAAAAGTGCCATTTATTTTATCCAAAGCACCATTTATAGTTAGAAACATGACTTTAGGCTACAGCACATTTCATCTTGTTTTTAAAATCATGAATTTTATGTGACAAAAGAACCACAAATGTTTGTATAGCATATTGTTGTTAATAATGTACATCAAAGTGAATGATAGCTTAATTCATTTGATTTAACTGCATGTTAGTCTTACACACAAAGATGATTTACCTTTACACTACTTGATTTTCAGAGTTTTTTGATGTATCTGCATGTGTATTCTTGTAAAATATCATTTTTGGAACAGGTTTCATGAGGAAGGTGTTAACATCTGATGAAACATCTCTACTTCATAACCCCAATTGGACTAAGTCTCATAATTAATAGAGAAAAAGAACACTATAATTATATTAGATGTAAAAATGTTGTTTATAAGTAATTACTCATAAAATTTTAAATGAAATGTTTTTCCTCAGGCATGCCTTCAGGCTTTTGAAAAGTTCACAAATAAAAAAACCTGCCCTCTCTGTAGAAAGAACCAATATCAAACCAGAGTGATTCATGATGGAGCCCGGTTATTCAAAATCAAATGTGCAACAAGGTAAGAATTTCTGTAACAATTCAGTCCTGATTCCAGTACCTAATTTGGAAAGAAATCCACTGCAAATTAAAAGTATATACTTTGAAACCAAGCTAATGATAACTCATTTTAAAAAGATATAAGGATTTTATATATCTTCTTGGCCACCTTAATCTCCCTAGTGTCTTGCACAGTACCTGACTTATATATATGCCTAACTACCAGTACTTCTATAAGTATTGAAATATTTGTTAAATTAAAATCTTCATAATTTAGTTATTTTCAAATGTCTGTGTTTTAGAATTCAAGCCTATTGGAGAGGACATGTTGTTAGAAAATGGTACCAAAATCTAAGGAAAACTATACCACCCAAAGATGCCAAATTAAGGAAAAATTTCTTTGAAGAAAAGGTAAGTATAGATTATGAATTCTCCAGCTGTAAAACCACCCATTGGATGTGCAGTAGAAAGGCTGAGTGATCTGCTTCCACAAATATTACGGCCAAGATAACCCTTTGGGGCAGTTCTGCTCTGTTGCCTGTGGTCACCATCAGTGGGAATTGACTTGATGGCACCCCACAGCAATAGTTCCTATATAGAGTTTTTAGTCATTGGCAATGATGCAAGTGATTCATTGGAGGTCAATAAAGCTAACAGAAGCAATAAAACTTGGAGACTCAGTTCATTCTTAGGGCTTTTTAAAAGTGGTTGAGATGCTGCTAAAAGTACTATTCCACTTAAGCAGGCCTTCCAACCTACATGGTAAATGCCATTGAGGTATACTTTTAGATTTTCTTTTCTAGTTAAATCATGCTGTCATAGGTTGAGTTCAGAAATAATGACTAGAAAGTCGGCTGTAGCTCCAAGAGAAATTTAGTAAGAGGATAGTAACCCATGATGCAGTGCCTAAGGCATTTGGCTCCTAACCAGAAGGTTGGTGATTCAAACCCAACAGCCACTCCTCAGAAGGAAGACTGGGCAATCTACTCCCATAAAGATTTACCACCTTGGAAACCCAATGGGGGTCACTATGAGTTGGAATCAACTCGATGGCAGTGAGTTTGGTTTTTTTTTTTTTTTTTTTCCCCTGTAACCTTGAAAGGTGGAGACATACGAGGCCAGAGATAACACCGTATGTGTCTTCCTGAGCCCTACAGGCTAGGGGTTTTTAGAATAGTTTTAAAGTCATGGAGTATGTGATTTCAAAAGACCTTATGCAGGCAGGTTACTCATAAAATCATGACTCTTTTTTGAAAGTCAGGAAGCAGAACAAAGCTGTGATAAATTCCTAACAATAAGCCTCAACTTCCTTCAGGTTAGGTGCATGTGGAGTCTCTTTCTAAGATGGAGTCTGTGTTTTTTAATATGGATATAATGACTTCTTCTGTGAAGGTGTATTCTGCTGTTTGCTCTTGGTTTGGGTCTTGGTCTTGTCTTAGATCAACCATCTTAGTTCATCAGGCAGCAAAAGAGGGCAAGGGTATGCAGGCTTCAAAACTGGTTAATGCTGACTATGGGCAGCAGGCTAGAAAACACCTCAAAAATGGCCTGTTATCAGGAAATGCCATCTAAGTAGTAAATTTACATTTGCATATTTCTCTTGCAATGTTCCTTCCTTGGTCTCAGGATCTGAGGGATGTGGGTGCCCTGAACTGTGAGCTGTTCCTGTCTTGTTTTTATTATCTTAGGAATGTGGTTGCAGGGGCAAGATTGTTACGTGATTATGGATATAAGTAGTAGAACAAGGCAATGTTTAAATTGAACAAGACTAATATGGAGCTTTAGGTTATAAAGTTGGAACACATATTCCTCTCCCAGAAATTCTAATCTGCTTATACGATTACAATACAATTTACAAAATTGGAAAAAGGTAAATTCAAAGGCTATTATTTGGCCATTTCCTGCCATGTTTAAATAAATTAATCTCTTTGCATCAAATAATGAAAACAAACTTAAGGTTTTCACATTCTCTGAACTGTAAGTAAATGAAGATATCAGATTTATATCTTGCAGTAATGGTGAAAATGGAGGGAAAAATAAAGCCCTCACAATGCTCCAATTTTATTGAATGTCTCATGGGCCCTCTTGGGATCATCAATAAGAGTTTTAGAAATAGATAAGTTTAGTTTCTACCCTTTCTTTGAACTGCTTTTTATCTTTTATGTTTACTTTTTGTTATTTAATAATTTCTCATTACTAGTACCTAAAACTGTCATTCCAGGCATAGTAGATCACATGATACCATGTGTCTTGAAGATAAAGAAGTTGAACCAGTAGATGGATAGTTTTCGCTTATATGAAGAGAGCTTTCTGCAAAATTACTTTGCCCCTGTCCTGGCATTCAGGGTGACACACTCTTGTTGATTGGTAGCAGTTGGTGGCTCTGGCTTTGTATCAGCAATTTTTGAAGTAGCTTTTCCTATTGTAAGACTTTGAGGGGAAAGAGAAGAAAGGGAGTTAAGTAAGCTGTGAATAGAAGTCTACAACTCTATATTTGTATATTAAAAAAAAAAATCCAAGTAATTCATTTTCCTTACAGCATGAATCAGGGAGCAAAGGATATTTAGGGAGAGAGGTTGAGTTCTGGTGAAAGACCACCTTCCGTTTCTAGGGATATCATGTGGAAAGTTTCCCTTTACTCAATGCTGCCTAATTCTTTTTCAAACATCCCCATAAAAGAAACAGCAAATTGTTGAAACTCCCAATAATTTACTGGATAAAAAAGAATATATGCCTTCATTTATTCTTGAACACTGAACCTTTCCTCTTCTGACTATGTAGAAAGCAATTTATTAAACCTAATTTTAGATTTTGGAAGGAAGATTGGTCAATCGACTTCTGTAGAGATACCGCCTCAGAAACCCAAGGAGAGGTTACTATGAGTCGGAAACAACTCAACGTCAGTGGGTTTAGTTTTTTGGTTTAATTTTAGATCTCAGCTCCTACCTAGTTTTAAAATATCACTTACGAGCATAATAGTTTCAACCTAACCTGGACTCTATATTCTTACTCTCCAAAGTAAACATATAGTTTTGGCTAATTTATCATTTCTAAGCAGTATCTTCCATCAGAGATAGTTAATTTCTAGTGTTGTAGTTCATTCTCATCAATAACATCAATAAATGACAGTCTTTTGTGATTGTTTTTCAACCTTCTTTAATATACTTTTCATGTTCTTTTGTATTCTGGAGTTTAACTGATTTCACTTCATCAGTCTGTCTTGTTCTCTGAGTTGCCCTTAATGTTTTCTAATATTTAATAGTGTTTTGGCTCTTGATTCAAAAATAATTTATTGGTTTCTCTTATAAAATTTTAATGACATATTTCATAGTCATTTTACCATATATATATATATATATATATATATGTATGTATATATATATTAAATTTTGCATGCATTATCTTATAATAAATTTTGAAAATACAAGGTGTACTTTGCCTTCACATAATGCAATTTGTGTCATGAGACACAGCCGATTGTCCTGACTCCACTATTAATTACCTATGGTCTTGCTCATTTTCTACTCTGTAAAATATCTTATATTGATAGGGTTATCTTGAGAATCCAAAATATAATACAGAATAAGATTTTGTTTAGTATATGAAACATGAGGCTAGTAGAACACTTATGGGGTTTTGCAATCAGTCTTGTGAGTGCCAGGAAGAGAACACGGCCATGTTTGATTATTTAGAGAGGTAGGTTTCAAAATATTTTTCAGTTAAAGAACATTGGTTATATCTTTACTTTCAGAGTTTTAACCCTCTAATCACTCTTCTTAAGAGTTCTTTAACTTCTGCAAATAAATCTTCCCAACTAAGTAAATGTATTTTGTTTCTTTTAAAAAGATAAAGAAAACCAGACCCAGCTGACAGGTAAAGAGCAAGTGTGTTCTTTCCTCACTATTACCCTCCCTCTGACTCTTCATGAAATAGCTTGTGTTCGCATCAAGCTTTGGACCCCTAGGGATCCTTCTTTCGTCCCCTTGTTTTCTATAGTGCTTGCTTTGTGAATTCAATCTCTCCCCTAACTTGCATTATTACTTCTGTGAGAAGGATTATTGCATTTATAGCTCTATTTCAAACCTACATCAAATCTATAGCTCTGTTCCAATCTCATATTTCCAGCTACCCACAAGTCCTACTGTTTCTTCTTTCTCTATGCCCACTTTGTCCCTTCCTCTCTATTTCTGTTTATACCACTTCATCACTTTGCCCTCTACCTCTCATCTACCCTGTATCCTTTGTTCTTGGTGTACTAGCTCACCCTTTGTGTTATGTGCACATTCTAACTTTTGCCCCCCTGCCTCTATTAAAATGTATCCATTTTCAAAGCATAGTTTAAGCCTTCTTCCACTTTCATTGGTGTTCTTTAAACCTCTGTTGTATGTAAAAACAATACCACTCAAAAGATAAAAAAAGAACAGAAGTATAAATTGTCTTTGAGCTTAAGTATAACAAATTTAGTTTTTCCTTTGGGGCTTTTGAAAATGAGCCCAGAAAATTTGAATAGCTAATTCATTTAAGCTTAATATCTGAGAAAATCTGGGGAAGGAAAGAGAGATTTTGTTTTTTTGGTAGTGGAGTAGAGGAGTGTTGAAGTTATTTAAAAGGACAGAATTTACAAGTACTTTAGGGTAATAGCTTTCAAACTTTTTCTCAACCCACTATATATATATATATATATACACACACACACACACACACAATTTTATGCAGTGACCCAGTACATATAAATACTTAATAAAAACAAATTTATACAAAACAAAATTTACCTGCACTACACACAAAGTACTATGATACTTTATATAGTATTTAATTTTAAAAATGTTGGACCTATTGCATTAATATCATAGCTCACTGATAGACTGTGACCTACAGTTTGATAAGCACTGCTTTTTAAGCATCTATTTACTTATAAATAACTGCTACATTAAATACAAATAATTATTTCTTACTCACTGAAGGCAAGTTCATTAAGAAACTCTGATAGTCAATCTTGCCTCATTCAAGTTTCATATATGAGAGTAGGAGTAGGGTAATGAATAATATATATTATATATTCTGTAATTCATATTATTCTTCTCCAAAAGTATTTTCATTTGTTGTTGTTATTTGCCATCGAGTCGGCCCGACTCATAGCGACCCCTCCTTGGGTTTCCGAGGCAGTATCACTACGGAAGTAGGATTGCCCAACCTTCCTTTGGGGTTGTATTCATATTTCTCATATGAGTAATTTCTCATACGAGTATGAGAAAATGTGAATGCAACCTCAATAAACAAAAATGCTTTGGGAGAAAAACAGTCTGACTCACAGTGACCCTATGGGTCAGAGTAGAACTGCCCCATAGGGTTTCCAAAGCTGTAAATCTTTACAAAAGCAGACTGTCACATCTTTCTACCATGGAGCGGCT